GCAGCAGCTGCTGGAAAGAGCTTCAGCAAAAGCTGCCTCTGCTCCAGGCACTCAGACTTCAGCTTCTCATTGGCTGCTATTGCAGAGTAAGGTTGAAATTTGAATCCCAAGCTCTAGATATCTTTGTATGTTTGTTTTTTATTCATTTGCAGCACAGATGTGTTTTCTGCTGATTGCTCTGTCAGCCTCCATCTCACCTCCCTTCCATTTCAGAATGGTACAGCTGCATAAATCCCACCTCCATCCTTCATACAGGTCACTGTATTTTATGACCTGTGACTCACAGCAGTTTTTTGGGGCCCAAATTTGGGTGGTTTGAAGGTGCAAGCTGCCTTCTACCTCTTCTGGCACGTTCCCAGGAAGAAGGTAAAAGGTGAGGCAAAGGGATTGATTGAAGGGATGTGTGTGACTGTTGGATCTAGTGCCAAAGCACAGAGGAAGTCTGAGGTGCTCAGGTGAGTTGCAAGACTCTGGGGTAGAGAAGCACATTGGTAAATCTGTTTCTCTTGCTTCTGTTGTGCTTTGTCTGTATCGAGTTGTCTCTTCCCTCTTGCTGTGGAATTTGTGCCCAGAAATTTCACATGGGAGCAGGAGGGAAGGGTCTGGATCTTGTGGATCATTCAGATCTTGTGGTGGCCTTTAAGTGGCTGTGGAGCTCTCTGCACTGCTGTCAGCAGGTTCTTGAGGGCAAGAAGTATTGGTGCTACAGATCTGTGTTGAGGAGACACATGATGAAACAGGAACAGCACTTGGGGCTGCCAGCACCATCAGCACAGCATGAAACTCATCTGGGATGTGCAGCCATTCCTCGTGATCCCTGTCAAGTTCACTGGCAGCTTCGTGTGCTCCATTTTGGGAAGACCTGTGTGGATGAACCAGCTTCAGCTCGATGGGGCAGTGTCCATCTCTGGATGTGTTTCATTGCAGAAATCAGGACCTTGAATCTTTTGGGAAACTTGAAACAGATGCCTCATGTTTTCTGGTGCTGGTTATGTTGTATCCTCCCCCAAAGGCATTGCTACTGCTGCATCCTGCACTTGTGTGTGGATATTCCTTTAATAGGGGGCTGATTGGAGATGGGAGGGGGAAGCTGAATCCCTTGGGTAGCTATGCTCAGTGACATGTGGTGCAGTCCCATCCACTGATGTGGAGTAAAGGAAGGAGCCCAGGCTGTGAGTGAAGCTCTGGGGTATTTCTGAGAGCTGCAGAAGGTGTGCTGGTGGGCTTAGGTGGGCCCCTGTTCCTGGTTATAAGAGCCTTTGGCCCCAGAAACTTGTCTGAACTTTTCACTAAGTAAGATAAATACATTTCCCTCCTTGGGAAAGGAGGAAAATTCTGAGACAACACAAGTTAGTTTATTATGTCCATGTTATCCTGCACTTGGCCTGCTCTGAGTTAGCTCTGCAGCTGATGGTAGGTGTATTTCTGTCAGTGGAAGTGCTGGAGCATCCTCAGAGGTGGCATCAGATGATAATCCTGAAATTTAACTCCACTAATAATTGGACAGATGAGTCTGAAAGCTGCCCAGGTACAACTAAGCTTGGAAATGATATTCAGGGAATTAACTGCATCCCCCACTGGGAGAGAACAGTGAGCTGAAATCTGCAGGTTGCAGAATCTTTTTGTGGCTGGCTGTGCCTTTCCTTTTTGACTGGGGTGAAACTGCAGCTCTGATTGCTATTAAAGAGCCTTCCTAATGGGAATAGACTTCCTGGTGAGTTAGCAGTTTAGTGAAGATCATCAGTGGTACCTCAGAATGTGGATTGCTCAGACAGTGTGGCATTGAAATGTATTACATCTTGGTGTGTATGGAGAGTTCAGGCTTTGGGCTCTGCTGGTTTCCTGTCCCAAATGGATTATAAACCAGCCATGGGTGTTGATTGGACCAAGTCACCATCCCTGCAGGAAAGGGTGAGGGTTTGAGGACAGGCCTCTCTGAGATAAGAGGGTTCTGTGAGGCAGGAGGGCCTGTGCTCTTACCTGAGGTGAGCAATACCTGTGAAAAATCTCCTTGCACCTTGGTCATCTCCAAGGACACAGAGCAAGACTTGGTGTGTGTGCTGATGAGACCTGAACCTTCTCCCCCAGAGGCTGAGGGATTTGTTGTCTGTATTGAGGAATACAAAGCATGGTGTCACCATGGAATCATAGAATGGTTTGGATTGGAAGGGACCTTAAAGACCATCTAGATCCAACCCCCTGCATGGGCAGGGACACCTCCCACCAGCCCAGGTTGCTCCAAGCCCCATCCAACCTGCCCTTCAACACTGCCAGGGATGGGGCAGCCACAGCTTCCCTGGGCAACCTGATCCAATGTCTCACCACGAGTTGGAGCCCATTCTCTGGACCTAGTGGCTCAGCTTGCAAGAGGAGTTCAGATAAGAATCCTTACAATCCCAGACAATCCCATCCAATACCATGACTTTTTTTCCCCTATGTTGGGAAGGAATCTCAGTAGAATATCCATAAGAATAAAAGATTGAAGTCCCATCATGGGAAGTTATTGCTGTAGGAAGATAACAGTAGCTCACTAGTGTTCTTTGAATAAGCTTGCCTGAAGATTTAACATGATTAAGCTCTTTTTTTTTTTTTTTTTGTAGGCATTAAATTTTTCCCATTAGAGAGCTCAGCAGGACTATTCCTGGATACAGGGTTTGTTTTTGTAGCCTGCTGGCTGTGACCTCCTGTTTCTGGTAAATCTGACCAAAATGAGGAAGACTAAATGCTGACAAGTCATCCAGAATTTGTTTTCTTTGTTTAAAAAAGAAAAGCTAATAACAGATGTAACTTCTGAAACCCAGAGCATTACCTGGTAGAGCTTGCTTTGCTTCATTCTAAACACTTCCAGTGCTGCTGTCCCACTGCACTGCCTCACATGGGTGTGTCTTCCAGCTCTAGTTTGTGATGTTCCCCAGGGATTCTTCTCTGTTGATCCTGGTTTAGCTGCATTCAGCTTTTTCTGACACCTGTGGTGCTGTGTTCAGGCTGGAGTTCCTTGGGACTGGTGGTGACTGGGAGAGCAGAGGATGGCTGGAATGTTCCATATGATGATGGGTACCCTGCCATTTGTACTGTTGCTCACACTTGGGCCTTTTATTCTTTTGGCTTTTGAAATGGCATCTTCTTTTTCTACTTCATGAAGAGGAGAAATGGTCTCTGTTACTTCCTGATAATGTCAAAATGCAGCTTCCATGTTTTGAGAGCAGAATGAACTGTGGTTCCTGTGGCTGTGAACTGTGAGGTTGGGGAAGATAAATGCAAATAGCATTGACTGCAGTGGGAGTGAAGGGCAGCAAGCAAGTCAGGGCTGCCTGGGAGAGGAGATGCTTCCGAGAAGTCTCATTAGCTGGAGCTTTGCTGGGCAGGGTTTAGAATCCCAGGCCCCAGCTGGGTGTGGGAAGGGCTGAGCTGTGGAATTACCAGTTTGCTGAGCGTGGGTTTGTGCCTTTCTGCAGCCCATACCCCTTGTCCCTCTCAACTCCCCAGGTTCTTTGCAGGCAGCATTCTGTCTATCTTCTGGTGTCTTTGGGGCCATCACTGAGGCTGGTGCTCACACAGATGTGCTTTTCCAGGGGAGCTTTGAACAGGGCCCAAAGCTGCATGTTCTGCTGTGCTGCAGCTCCATCTGGGAGACATTTGGAGTTGGTTCTTGTTGAAGGAGTAACTACTGCAGTGTGCTGCACCTTCCCAGCTCCCTGCCAGCTCCAAGGCTGTGCTGTGACCTAGAGCAGGAGGAAGACTGAACATGAAACATTTGGGGTGTTTTAATGTTGTTGTAGAGTTGGCAAGAATTAATATCTGCTGCTTGTTGCAATCATGGAGAGGATTCTTGCATTGATTTTTCTTGTTCTTTTCACTAGCGAATGGACCTGGGAGAATGTACAAAGATCCATGACTTGGCACTGCGAGCAGATTATGAGATTGCAAGTAAAGAGAGAGACCTGTTTTTTGAGCTGGATGTGAGTATGGAGAAATCTTGACTGCTTTTGTGGAAACTGCCTCTTGAAGCTGTTTGACTGAACAGTAGAACTCGGTGGGCATTTCAGCTGCATTGCCTGATGTGTTATGGCAAGAATGTGCCCCTTCCTGAATGCTGGCTTCAATTTGTAAAAGTAATTATGGCCCAGCTACCTGGGAGGCTCCTCTGGCATTCCTTGCATCCCACACCTGCTGCTCTATACCAGGTCATTGTAACCTGGTGGCCTGTCCCAGAAGGAGGTTTGACATTAAAAGCCTTCTGCTCTGTGGTTTTGCTTTGGCCAGATTGAGCTTTCTGGGATGGAACAGATCAAGTGGAAGAACCACTCTGCCTTCCTTTTTTGTATTATTCCAGTACATTTGTCTCTGCACCTGTTGCTTGTTCCTTGGAAGCTCCAGCCTTCATGTGAGCACTCTGTTGTGTGTCACAGCAAAGGAACTGTGTCAGGTTCTGGGCAGATGATGGACTGAAGATCAGGGATCCAATTTTATTTGTTCTGCAAAGTGTCATTTTTATTTTTTTTCCCTCAAGGCATCTGTTCTTGAGGGTGCTTGTGCATTTTACAGGGATTGCCCCAGCTAGCTGTTGGCTGTCAGAGCTAGGCTGGGCATGGGGAGCATTTTTATTCACCATTCTTTGTCTGAACATGCAGGCCATGGATCACCTGGAATCCTTCATTGCAGAGTGTGACAGGAGAACAGAACTGGCCAAGAAACGCCTGGCTGAGACACAGGAGGAGATCAGTGCTGAAGTGTCTGCAAAGGTATTGTCCCCATTAAACCTTGGTGCTACGAGTCTGGGCAAGGGCACTGGTGCTCTCCTGGCTGTGACACTGGGAAGTGAGGTTCCACGTGGACTCTGTGGATTCCACCCATCCACCTCCAGTGCTTCTCTCACCATTCTTGTGACAAACTTAAAGGTCTAGAGACCTGTGGTGGCATAAAACATGAACTCTGAAGTAGGTTGGTTTAGCTGGGCAATGAAGGATTGGTTTCCCCCCACTATTCAATGTTAATATCATAATTTAAGAATAGTAAACCCATCCCATTATTGTTGTCTTTTTGCTTATAAACACTCATGGAGCTTCCTCTTTGGGAGCTTCATCCAGACAATCCAAAACATTTCTGAAGCTGGTTTGGTGGGTCCTGTCCTGTAAGCCAGACATGTGCCAGTGTTTGCAGAAGAACTGATGATGCCCCTTCTCTGTCCATATTTTCTCTTTACTACATGCCTGTGACTGCATTGCCTGTACTTGGCCCACCAATCCCTTTCTGATAGGACTCCTTTGACTTTTGGACATTTAAGGTCACCTTCCAACAACTACTTTTGTTAAGCAATATTTTTTTTTTTTAGGGGAAAAGAGAAAGTTACCCTGCAAGTTTTAGCAGGTTTTCCTGTCTCACTAAAAACTACCCATTCTTTTTAGGCAGAGAAAGTCCATGAGTTGAATGAAGACATTGGAAAGCTGCTAGCTAAAGCTGAACAGCTGGGAGCTGAAGGAAATGTTGATGAGTCTCAAAAGATCCTGATGGAAGTGGAGAAAGTCAGAGCAAAAAAGAAAGAGGCAGAGGTATGGCCTTGGATCTCCTGGGGTTTGGAACAGGAACCTGGGCTGGGCTGAGTGTGTGACAAAGGGCTGGGTGGTTCCCACCTCTTTCCCCATGTTCCATCCCCTTCTAGCAAGCAGAGTACTGTGGTAGATGAAGAAAAGCTTGGTAGAAACTTTCATCTAGTGAAGAAAACTGGGGTGGGTGGGGGATTTGCCCTCTGCAATACTTGGTCACCAGTCACTTGCAGGGATGACCTGTCAGGTTGGCTGGGCTCAGATACAGCACCTCCTTGATCCTGAGGCTGCTTTTATCATCCCTGAAAGGGCAGAGCAGCTTTTTCCAGAGGTTTCCCTGGAGGGTTATGACTATGTAAGGCTTCCCTGACATTTGCCTGGGTTTTTTTTTTGCCTCCCCTTAGGAAGAATACAGGAATTCCATGCCTGCCTCCAGTTTCCAGCAGCAGAAGCTGCGTGTGTGTGAAGTTTGTTCAGCATATCTGGGGCTCCATGACAACGACCGACGTCTTGCTGACCACTTTGGAGGCAAATTACACTTGGGTTTCATTCAGATTCGTGAGAAGCTGGATCAGCTGAGGGTAATCTTGGCTCTTTTAAACCTTCCCCTTGTAGTTCTGAAGATGTTCAGCTCTTTTATTCAATATACACAGGATTTGGGTGAGTTGCATAGTGTAGAATCAGAAATTTCTGATCCTTGAAACTTCCAGTGGAGCTTCCTGTGGTCTATAGTTCCTGGGTAACTAAATCCCCCCAGAATTAGTCCAACCAGAGTGCTGCTGTCATTTCTTCTTTAAATGCACATGACTGTACTATTGCTACTTCTCATAGCTTTGGATGAGGTTGGTCACTCTGGGGTTTTTTTTTTACTATCAAAAAGTACTTCCAGACCTCCTAAAGAAGTGCTTGAACTGCAAGTTTCACATAGTGCTGTTAGTGAGGAAGATCTTAAGTAGCTGAAGTGATCACAAGTTTTCTGGAGTGGTTTGTCATGGAATTGCTGGCCTTGCTCACAGGCAGACTGAGCCTGCTCAAGCAGCAGTGGTGATTCTGTATTCACCAGGCAGCATGTTGAGGTCAGTGCCTCCACTGATGGTTGGCCTGAGGCCAGAGCCCTGCTTGATTGTGCTGTGCGTGCTTGGGGTAAGGCAGTCCTTTGCCCCAAAGTCTGTGGGGCTTGTCCCTCAGAGAGCCCTGCTTGATTGTGCTGTGTGTGCTTGGGATGAGGCAGTCCCTTGCCCCAAAGTCTGTGGGGCTTGTCCCTCAGAGCACAAGCACTGAAGGCAGAGGGTGGCATTTCTGGCACTGAGGGGTAATGGTGAAGTTGTGAGGGAAGTGAGAACCTGGCTCGAGATCTTGGCTGATGCAGAAAACACAGTTAAATGGTTCTTTGTCTTACTGCCTGAACAGTCTCTCTGCAGGTCTCTCTGACCTGTTAACTGTGTGGCTGAAACACAATGTGAACTTTTGGGTTTTTTTCTAGAAAACAGTGGCAGAAAAGCAAGAGAAGAGAAACCAGGATCGTTTGAGACGGAGAGAGGAGAGAGAGCGAGAGGAGAGGATGGGCAGACGGTAAGGGGAGGCTGATCACTGGCTTGGGGAGTTGGCTTTGATATGTTCTGATTGCTTGTACCTGAGCATTGCAGGAAGGCAGCATTTGCTGCAGGAGCAGTTGTTGGATGTGGTCTGGATGCTGTGTGGGCACCTTGACATTCAATTAGAGTTGCAAACAAAAGCACAACTCCCCCACCCTCGAGTGATTGTCTGTGTGTTGTTTTAACCTCCATGTGTCTCCAAGATGTGAGCTCTCTGGAGTCTTCAGGCTTATATTGGTCTTGTATTCCCTGTCCTTAGGAATCTGAATCTGGACAAAATGCCCTCATCCAAGTAATCTGAGTGGGAAGGCTTGATGAGTGAGTGCTTGGTCTGCTCAAATGGCACCAGTCATGCAAAAATTCCCCAGACATCCCTCCTCACATCTAGGCTAGGAGGTGACAGCAGGATGGAGCTGCAATCATGAGCCAGATGATGGGCTGTCTCTGCTCAGAAACTTTTCTATAGAAACAGTGAGGCACAGCTTTGGAAAACATTCCTGGGGATCCAAGGGATCCTGAGGAGTAGCTGCTTCTGGTGATTGTGACCATATATGCCTCCTTCCTGCAGGTCCTTCCTGCGTAAAAATTGCTCAGCTGAGTTGCCTTCAGAGCTCTATGGATCTCTTAGTTGGTCTCCATTTCCCCAGAATGCTGGCTTGCTTCCTCCTGTGGCAGTTCTGAGGGTTTGTTTTTCAAGTTTAGAATAAAAATTAATCAACAAATCCTCAGTTCTTTAGAGTCCAGGAGCCTCCTGTGTTCACAAGTAGTTCAATACAGGTGTGCATCTGATGAGGCTGCTTCTGAATGTTTATTTGATGCTTTAAATATGAAGGGTTTGAGGACTGCATTGAGTTGGCCTGAAGTCTGAGATCTTCCTGGCTCCCTATGTGGCACTCCTTAGACTTTGGCCAGCCTTGGCTCCTGCTCCATATGGAGGAATTCCTCTGCTTCTCTCTTAGGTTGCCCAAGATAAGCTTGTTATGAAGGAGCCAGGAGAGGAGCCACATGGGGGGGGTCAAATTATTTGCCTCTCCACATGATCCAGGGAAGGGAAATAGTTTTCCCAGTGTCAGAACTGAGCTTAGAGCCCAGATTTTTCCATTCCTCTGCACCTTACCCACCAGGAGCTCTGCAAATCTGTGCTTGCAGGGGCATTTTTCCATCAAAAACTCAACAAAGACTTCTGCTGCCTTTCAGACAGCCTCTTACCCAGAGCTTGATGCTTGAAGGAACCACAGAAAGCACATTTCCTTCTTATCTCCTCTTGCCATATCTTCAAAGGCACCATTCTCATGGTGTTCCTTAGTCAGAGAACGAGTACTTGGAGAAGTCCTTGGTGACTTGCAGGCCCTGTGACATACTGTGGAAACCTGCAGACTCACTTGTGAAACTGCCTCTCACAGGTGTTATTCATTTGCCAACTCAGCTGTGATTTCTGCATAGGAATGAGTGAACTGGGTTGTCACCCCTAGTAGTAAATAAACACAGGTTCCTTTGGTGGTGTTCATGACTGTGGGCTACCCAGTAATCTCCTAAGACTGGAATTCTGTGGAGAGGAAATGTACTTGGAAGTGCAGACCTTGGTGTTTGCTTCCCAAGTGCACCAGCAAACAGGTCTGGGTGGAGTTGCCACCCTGTGGATTTCCTTTGTAGTCAGTTGGACAAAACAGGTTGTGAAACACAGCACATGGTCTCTGTGATGGAGGGAGAAAGAAGAGAACAAAACACACTCAGCCTCTCACTCTTCTGGGCAGCAAACTTGACTGTCTCCTGCTGTACCCTGATCCAGGCTTGTGAGGGAAGGGCTGTTGTGTTGGGTGCTTCCTGGATTTGGAAATCTAGCACCAGGGAGTGATTATCCAGAGTTTACTGTGCAAACTCCTGCTCAGATCATAGGCATGGAAGGGCAGCCAGGCTTTTCAGGAGATGTGGAATGGCTTTGTTTGGAGGTGTGCACCAGTGATTTGGAATTAAGTGATCAGGAGGAGAACAACATTAAGAACTTGGACTAATTACAACCACCAGAACAATTCAGTTGCCTGCCAGACATCCCCAAGAGGCCCTGCTGTTCCTTCAGGTTGTTAGATGAAAAGGGAGGTGTTGTGGTTCTTGCTCTCCTGGTTTGTCAGCTTTTCCTTCCCCTGCTGCTCTTGTGTGTTGCCTCAGCACGTGGTTCATTTGCCTGAGCTCCACCTTGTTTACAGTCCTACCCAAATTCCTTTCTAAATGTTGGGGTTTTTTTTTCCATTCCACCATGATTGAACAATCCCATCTCATTGTGAAGGAATGTCACTGCACATTCTTTTAATCTTGTCTTATCCAGGCATGGTTTTAAATGATCTTATTGAAATAGATGCTTCTCTATTGCTTTTTAAATGTTGTAGCTTTCAGCCCCATCCCCTGTCAGCTTTGGGGCTGTGGCCCTGAACACCCCCCTGAGTCTGGACACAGTGGGGTGGCAGCAGTGACCAGTGTGGTTCTCTAAGCCACTAAATGAGATCAGCCAATTCTCAATTAAAGCAAAAAATGAGGCTGTTTAGACAATGTGTGAAGTTTTGGTGTAGGTTGGCTTGGAAATGTGACTGTAGAGGAAAAGGGAGGGTGTGTTTTTCACAAGGAATGGTGTTTTAAGTGATGGCTGAGTTGAAAGAATTATGACATGGTTATTTAACTGAAAGAGGGGAGAATGAGCTTAGTTATTAGGAAGAAATTTTTCACTGTGAGGGTGGTGAGACACTCAACTATTGTTGAGTTCCTGTGCAGGGCTGCCAGGGTGAACAGGTTCTAATGAGCACTGACTGTATCACACCTTCAGCTTTTCTTTCTCCTCTTCCTCCTAGGTCTGGATCAAGAAATAGAGATCGTCGAAGGTGAGTGGAGAGTTCTCCAGTTCTCCCAGTTTCTGTCCAGCTGCTGTGTTTTTTCCTAGGTCTCCAGAAACAGGTTGCCTAGGGAGGTGCTGGATGCCCCCTCCCTGGAGGGGCAGGTTGGATGGGCTTGGAGCAACCTGGGCTGGTGGGAGGTGTCCCTGCCCATGCAGGGGGATTGGAACTGGATGATCTTTAAGGTCCCTTCCAACCCAAACCAGTCTGTGTTTCTATGATTCCCAAATGGAGTTCCCTCAGTGCTCCAGCCTCTTTTGTTCTGCTCCCTGAAGGAAGTGGGAATTGCTGCTGGGGCACTTCAGTGGTGCTCTGAGAGTTGATGGCACCCATTGGGCTGGGAAGCAAATGGTGCTGTGTGCTCCTGAGTACAAGCCTAAATGTACCCGATGCCTTTTTCAGTCATCACTAACACACTTCCCTATTTTTAATGTCTGAGATGTATCTGTTAGATACATAACACCTCAGATGTAAAAACAGATTGAAGGTCAGACCCCCCCCCACCTCTGCAGAGCTTGCTCACATACCTGGAGCTCTTTCTCTCTGCTGCTCTCCATACACATTGACACCCTGTGTTTTGTTTCCAGAGCAGATTTAAACAGTTCTGCTTCTGAAGGGCAGCAGGTTCAGAGTACTGCAGGGCTTCAGTCATTTCACATGCCCCTTACCTGGGCCTTTCTGCTGACACAGCAGACACAGGCTGAGGATGGGTTGGTAAGCTCTGCTAATCCTTGGTACATGATTTTTTACCTAAGCTTCCCAGCAAACCAAGGTTACCCACTGGTAGAGCGAGGCCTGGGAGGTGACCTGCCCGCGGGGGGAGCGGTGCTGGGGCTCTGGATGGGTTTTCCCTTGGGAATGCCTGAGGGGTGGGCTGGGGGTGTAGAGGGCTGGGGGTGTCTGTGCCCATCCCCTGAGGTCTGAGGCAGTGCGTGTCCTTTGCAGATCCCGGTCCCGGGAGCGGAGGCGGCGGCGCTCCAGGTCAGGCTCCCGCGAGCGGCGCAAGTCGCGCTCCAGGTCCCGGGACCGACACAGGCGGCACCGGAGCCGTTCCCGCAGCCACAGCAGAGGGCACCGGAGGGGTTCCAGAGACAGGAGTTCAAAACACAAGTAGGTATTCCTGACACCAGTGCTTCCGGGGAAGTCCTTGGCACGGCAGGGAGCCTGCCCGTCCCTTAGAGCCAGCAGGAGCGCGGCAGGTCTGGGGTTGGCAGCCGGTGTCCCGCCCTGTTCCCAGGGGCTGTTGGCAGGTGACAGCAGTAGCTGTGCAGTGAGATCCCAGCTGGAAAGGAGGGTCTAGGAGATAGAACTGGTTCCCTGATTTGTAGTGCTGAGCCTTGACAAGTTGCTTGCTTCTCTTCTATAAGCAGCAGCACAACTTGAGCTAACTGAGCCTCCCCAGGGGCTGTTTTGATGTTACATTTCTATGGTTACCTTCTGCTTCCCAGTTTGTTCCTCTCAGTGCTGGCTTGGAGAAGGAAATGTATGACTGGGGACCTTGGGGAAGCCGCCTGTTTGGGTAAGAAGAAGGCTGGCTGGGAGAGAGTTCTTCAGGAGTCTGTACTAGAGGGAGGGGAAAAGGCAGCCAGGAGGAGGAGTATCCCCCTCCTGTTGCTATAGTTCCAAGAAGGGCTCCAGTCTCTTCTGAAACTCAGCAAAACACCCACTGTGGTGGAGTAGGAATGAGACAAGCACATGTAGGAGTATTTGAAACA